TATACAATAAAAATGTGTACTTAAAATGCAAATATTTGAATTAGTTTATCTCTGTAAAACACTACCATGTTAGATATATGCAAAAAACACTGTCCAATGTAAACAGGGAAAAAAAGTGCATTCTTATGGAGTCCTGTGGTTCACAAAAGGTTATACTGCTCTTCTCTACATCTTCCTTCAGAGTAACAGGTGATAAAGGAAAAAGTCCCTTCATTTTGTAGTATTATTTGATATTAGAAATGATCATCTGAGGCATTATCAGTAAGAAGACTGGTCAAAAAGTATTCCAGTCCATTAAAAGAGGATTGTAAAGGATCCCCTGGGTCACCAAGACTGTGTCCCTATTATCAGAGTAAGCCTTTCAGTTTACAGTTTATCAGTCTTCAATATGTTTGCAAAGTTCTGTTTAAATGCTACTTCCATTATACTGACTGGGCAGCTGTTCTCCTTTCCTCTGATGTTTCAAAATTTCTGAACTTTTCAAAGTATATTTGTTTAGGACAGTTTGTGCTACTTCATTCTTGTGCCAGCATTGACTTTTATGTTAAATATCAACTTTCTGTCCACCAGAGAGGGAGATAGCAATTCTAACCTGTCTTTGGTTTAAGGTTAATTTTATTTTTGCCTCTTCTTTAGCTGGTCTGTTAGCCACCTTTTGTTTTTTCCTGTTAATTTTCATCTTTAATAGATTAATTTCTTTTTCCTTTATGCATTTTTTCGACATCCAAAGCACTTCAGTCTAATGCTTTCCTTGTCAGCAAGAAATTCTCATGTAGCGCCTCCTGCATCCCAACTGGTAGCTGAGTTACTGCATAGTTCAGATAAAAAACCCCCTCCTTCTTGGCACCCAAAGTGGAAGGAGGAATAAAGAGTTTGTGTTTAAAGCCCAGTGACAGGGGTTTCAGCAGAGGTGATGCCTGAGCTGTAGTCTCCAGGCTGGCAGTGCATTTCACCCTGAGGCAGAGCAGTGCCACTGGAGCTGGCTGGCTGTATCAGCTCCTTGTGGATCAGATGCACAGAAGTGGATGTTCCAAAATGAGATTCACAGCAAACCCTGAATGAATGTTAAATCTCAATCCCATTCACAGTTCAGTGCCAACATATGGTGGGAGAGAGAGAAAGAAGCTTACAAAAATACTTATTTAGCAACAATTTGCTGATAAAACTTGACTCCAGCCAAACTTTAGGAGAAGCTTTATGGCTGTGGACAAACTGACTTTTCTAACCACTTCAAACTCCCTAACCTCTTCAGCTTGCTTGTCTGTAAAGGAGCAGTAAAACCCTAGCAGAGTTTATGTAACTGCTACTCAGTATTGCATTAAGCTTCCTCCATCTGACATGTAAAACTTCCACCTGCTCAGTCACCCAAGTCCTGACTTGAACTAATGACTTTTGATACTACTGGGCTATATTTGCTTCTAGCAGGCTGATAACAAAGTGTACAGAGGATTGCCTGATCCAATTTATGCTATAGGCTGAGATAGTCTGGCTGTGATCACCTGGCAGCAGAATCAGTTTAAGTTTGTTGCTCTCTAGAGAAGAAGGAAAATGCAAATGCAGTGAGAAGTCTATGTGCTGTGGTATTTTAAAATGTCAGAGAACCACTACTGTATCATTAGCTATAATTTTAAGCTTTGAAAATGCTGTCAATGAGCCTTGGTATTTTGTCATCACTGCACTATTTGAAAAAATCTGTTTCTCTCCATTAGCTTTTTTTTTAATCTCTGTTTGTCAGTGTTGTCATTTGTTTTTCTCTCTAATGGAAATTCTAGAACTACTGTCAGTAAAAAGAGTATTGCTATGAAAAATACATGATTCTTCCTCCTTAAAGACATCTCTCTTTCTCTGTGTAAAAATTAAGACTATATGTAAATGAACACTGCTTCCCCCTCTCCCAATTTGTTCCAAAGGCAACAGGAGCTTTTAAAATCTGTTTCTTCCTAGACTTATCACTGATATAATTCTGAGTCACTGTGAAAAGTTTGTTTCTGTCCACTCCCTTCTTTTTTGCACAGAGATGTCTTCCCAAATCTCCTGTTATCAGGCAGTGCTGAGAGTAGAGCAACTATGGAGTCTAAAAATGCCAGCAAAGATGATCAGGTTTGCAGTGGTAAAGTACAGGAATAAACAAAACATTGTAGCATGCTTTAAAGATTCAATATGCATTTGTGCATTTTCTGTGCCTGATCCATACAAAATAAGTATAAAATAGGCCAACAAGTACAAAATAAGTCTGTGTATTCCACTAGAGCAGAATAAAGCAGCTCACAGGCTGTTTAAGCCACTGTAACACCCTGGTTACCAGGGTAGCTCCAAAGCTTCTGAATCTGGCATTTTTTGTTACTACTGTTATGCTTATTTAATCTTGCATTATTTTACTTAATCTTTAATCTACGATCTAATCTCCCTTGCCACTCCCTTAATGCATGTCCTGATTCTTCTACTGTAGGCAGAATCATCTTCCTGGATGCTCCCTCAAAACATACAACACAGCTCACCTTGCCATGTGTGGATAGTTTTATCTGCACCAAAACAACTTGTATCTAACGGGAAATGAAGAGGGAAGGAGGTCCATTCACCTTGCTAGAAGATGGTTACTGGAAATCCATACCAGCAGATCCACAGATGAGAAAATCCTTGAGAAAAGTGGATCTGGCACTGCTGTGCTGAATTCAGTGTATCCATGTGAAATCAAACCTCTCAAATGACCAGGGATACCCACATGGTGAATTCAGGTTGAGGTTATGAGGAAGTGTCAGTGTAGAACCTCAGCTGGTAGCCATCCTGAGCAGGTGACTAGAAAATTAGCAGAACTAGAAAATCAGAAATTGCCAGGCCTCCTCATGTATGTTTTGTGGATGGCTCATTAAATTCCTCTTCAGTTAAGTTTTACACTTTTCCTTTTCAATGTGGCACTGTATCAAAGGAGCTGCATTTTTTACTTGGTGTAGGGACTGCAGAAGAGAGGTGGGGTAGAATGTGGCAGTATCACCTTGGATTCTCCTGTCCCCCAGGTCATTTACTGATGTGCACTCAGCAGGGATTTTAGCTACAGGTGGTGCCACAAAGTGCAGGGTCCAGTCCCCAGTGGACTCAGTTCTGCCAAGGAGCAAATAGATAGTTCAGGTCTGATCCACAGCTAAATGAATAACCAAAAGAATAAGCATAGATCTTGCAGGTGGCTTTGAGCCTATCCTTGGGATTTTGACTGGGATGTGAAAATTTCCAAGAAAATGCAGAAGACAGAAGTTCAGGAAAAATAAGAAGGCCTCATGCAGAAAATGACACAGAGTCACATACCTGAATGCTAGATTTCATCATCAGGCCTCCAATTTAGATCACAAGTTTGGTGCTACTTTAGGTAATCTCACAATCTATTATTCCCAAAGTTCTCCTACCCCAGTTTTCAGAAAGCATATGAGCAACAGGTAGATAGGATTAAAACAAGGAGTGTGTAATGAAATGACAACTTATTCTGTTGGTATTAATAAGGACTTCATAAGGAAATATTTTATCTTGTCAGAAGAAGAGTCCTGTGCCCCAGATTACTTCTAAACTGTAGCATATATCTATGCCCCATACAGAATGGTGTGTCTGTAAGCAAAGGTCAGAAAGAGTATCTAAGAGAGAAAAACAGAAATGTATCCATGTGAAAGAAAAGGACTATGGAAAAAGAAAGATAGTTTGCTTTCCATTTCTAAAGTGCTTTGCATTAATTACTCTGTCAATAGCTTAAAAAGATTAGGAGCGAGGCATTCTTTTTGTGCACACGACCTTTTCAGCAGCTTGGCAAATAAAATTAAGAGACTAGGCCAGCTCCAGAGGTGGGTTTATATTTAAACACAAAGTTTACATTCAAGTTTCTAGAAGAAGACTTGGAACAATGTGATGTAAGCTTAGATTCTCTAATTAAGATCAAATTGCATAGTATTTTTAGACTTTAAAACAACATGTTTTGACCCAAAATGCAGTTCAAGTTTTCTTTTCTCTTGGATCTATTGTGAATTATTAGCATTTGACATTCTGTAAACCAGGTCTGGCACAGACTTCAACAGACAAAAACCCAAAGTCAGAGGGGGGTTGCTGGGTTGGGTTTTCTCTCTTTTCAGTAAACACAAATTTATAATGTGCCAAAAATTCTACAGATCTCTTCAGTCCAAAGACAAGGGGGAGGCTTTCAAAACATTCTAGGCTTTTTAATTTGACCACCTCATAGCTTTTTGTGTAGGCATTCTTTCCCAGCAAATAGCACAAGAGCTAGCATGCTGAACAAATAAATGCAAAAAGGTTACTGAGTGCATAACACTTTCCCTCAGAGCAGCCTCCCTTTACCTTGCATGTACACACTGCAGGTTTGAATTGCAAGTGTAATTTAATTCTCACAAAACCAAACAAGGATTCAGGAAAATAAAGAAAATAATATTGAGTCGGGGCAGCTTTTTTCATGTGTGAGATTACTGAAGATATAAAAGCTCCAGAAATAGCTTCTGCTTATTGGAACCTTCATTTAAACCTTGCCTTAACGTTCACAGGGTGTTCCTGTGCATCTTGACCCCTCCACACGGAAAGATTAAAAGGTTACTCATGGAAAGATTAAGTTCATCTTCCTGTGAGATTTTCTGACTTGCAGTAAGTTTCTAATAAATGTACCTAGCCCTAGTGGCATCTTGTTCAGTGCTCTGGTTTTAAACCTGAGGCAAATGTGACTTAATAAGGCAAATAGTCCTGTGCAGTAAGGTATTGTAAGGTTTTCCCCTAATCTTAAATATGTAAGGCAGACTTTGCAGATTTAAAAGTGAAAAAGTCAAACAGTTATCACAAAAAAAAAAAAAAAAGCAAACTTGCTTTGCACGTGCTTTTTGTAAGCATACATCATCCTTCACTTACACAGTGTTTCAAAACCTCACCTCTCTGTCTCAGAAACCAACCTCACTTTCTCATAACTTGCCATTGCTTAAGCAGGTAACACATCCAAGGCGTTAAAGCTACTTGCCACTTACCCTAAGTGGACTGGTTCACTGTAGTAGAAATATGAACCCTTATGCCATAAAAGTGATATACTTTTGGGCTCCTAAGGACTACACCAGCAGTCTTCAGCTTAAAAAAAAAAAGAGAGAAATAGAAGCATCATTACTACAGTGTTTCACAGCACCATATCCATGCACAAAGTTCTCAGCCAGTCTATGTCAAATGATAAGTGATGATCCTGACCATGCTATGCATTGTCATGCAGCAAAAGCCAATTCCTTGTGTACATGTCCAGAACCCTGTCCCAGCTTGCACAGGAAAAGAGGTGAATGGGTTAAACCTCTATCTCCACTGCTCCTTGACACGGTTGTATGAAGGCTGAAGGTCTTAATGAAGCTTTTCTAAGACTTTATGTCAGATTTTGGCTATTTTTTTTTTTTTTATCTTGTTCACAAATAGAATTCAATCTTTGGAAAATATATTTTTACAGAGCTTAAAACCTATATGGTTAGAAGAATCTGACCTAGATTTGAAGGTTTCATGTGGAACTGATAAAAGCAGACTCATATTGAATTTGTTCCCTCTATGAAAGTGGCATTAGGGATTCACTGGATGTGAAGACGTGTCAAAGATTCTTTATCTACTACTTAAAGCACATTCTCCATCTCCTCTTTCTCCATGAGACCGTTGTCTCCTCATGTCTACTTGTTTGGATGGGGGACATCATTGACAGGGCAGGCATGACTGGCAGAGGAAATTCCCTATTGCAGCAGTCACAATGTGATAGACCCAGTGACTGCCTGGGAGAGAGTGGCTAGATACACAGGAAATCCTTAGTGTTTAGGGTTTGTTGTTACATTTTCCCATGAAACCAGAACTGAAAGAAGACACAGTTTGAAAGAACCTTTTTAACTTGGCCTTTTGATCTTGAAATTCAGTATTACTCCGGTACTTGGAAAGAATTAGTAATATGTCAGATGATACAGGTATATAAAAATGTCATACTCCTTTAATTATCTCTGTATTCACTCCTATACTGTGGATTTTCAGAATAAAGAGTGGTAGGGTGTGGCAGGCACATTCTTCTCTCTCTCAGGATTTTTTCATAGAGGAGCACAGAGAGAAGAAAGAGAAAACAATTTCTATTTCTGCTCCTTGTTTTTCCCATGTGGAATGTGTTTAGAGAATTGTTTACCTGGAGTGATTGCTTGATTGGATTCTGGTGAGGATTGTTTGAGCCTGACAGCAAATTCAACCCACCTGTGTCTGGACTCTCGCAAGAGGGTCACGAGCTCTGAGTTAGATATGGTAGTTAAAAAAAGTAGGTATGTAGTTTTAGTATCTCTTTTAAATAGTATATTAATGTATTATCATACAGTCATAATAAAGAAATCATTCAGCCTTCTGATCTGGAGTCAAACATGATCATTTCTTTCCACCAGGTTCAGCTGCACTTACAATAGTAGGGACCTATCACAGTGCAGCACAGGCATTTAGAAGAAGTGGTACTATTGCTTAGGGGATAAGGATGTATGTTAATGATGTGAGATCGAACCCATTTTTTGCCTGTCATTAAATGCAAATACTGCCACTAGTGTCTTGGGATAGATTTCTCATCTCCTTTGCCAAGTTAGTGTTGTTCAGTGATATCTCACACTACTTTCTCTACACTGGTTTTCAGTTTCATTTATTATCTGACCTTGTGCATTTCCCAAGGCTCGAGCTGCTAGTCTTCCTTTAAACAACAAAAATACGAATTTTATTTTCATTTTCCACTCTCCATTTGTCTTCTATTCTCAACTTCATTTCTTCCGACTGTGTTTTCTACTTCCCATTTCTCTGTCTCAGTTCCTGGCCTTTGTTTCCATCTCATCCCAGTCTGTAATCTTGGTTTCTGTTCCTTCTCTCTTCCCTTGCTTTCGCAGCCTCTCTTCTTGATTTTAACTCAGTAGTGTGTCATTTCAGCTAGCTTGCTAAGCTTTCCGAGGATATGTATATATATATATATATGTATATATGCACACACATTTTGCTGCCTAAGTAATTGCCATGGGCTATCTTGGGTTTCCCCCCATTCTTCATTACAATTTCAACTCACCAGTAACTTTGGGACTCAGAAATGTGCTAAGGAGCTGGTTTTGAAAGTGCCCATAATAAATAAATTCTTCCAACTTTTCCCCTTTCCACAGACTGCTGCTGTTGCTTGTCAGAGCTGTCTTTCAACCCATGAATCTGCAGATAACCTGCTCCCTGATCTGCTGTACTGTGCTGGTAGAAGTCCCTCCTCATGTGGTACCTGTACATGATAACCACATTCAAAGAAATATGTGAGAAACACATACTTTCTCCCCAACTGAGATGTTCTGGACTTTCTGATCTGTACAAATTCAGCACTAGCTATGGGATAATTTGGTCCATAGTTCACATCAGTTCTTGTTGTCTCTCTAAAATGATCCAAGTAATCTATTTGGGTGTGTCCTCTTGCTGCCTCACTGTGTCTTCAAGCTCTGGACTCCCTGGAAAGGCTCTATCGTGCCTGGCTGTAGTGGGAATGTCCTTATTGCCTATTGCTATGACTACAAATGCCCATTGCTATCTTGTCCCCATGTTCATCTCGGCTATTCAGAAATGAAGGCCCCAAAAAGAATTAGTAGGCCTCAAATCAATTCTTTGAGCTCAGTGTAAATACAGCCTGATGGGAGAGAGAGCTGGATCTAGTCCTTAATCAGGCAGTGAGCACAGTAGTGTGGCTAAGTATAGAAGCCACTTAGTTTACAGTACAGTGACCCAATAATTATGCAAGATAATACTGTATGCACTTAGCTCGCCTGTACCATTCAGAGCACTTGCCAATAATACACAAGCATATTTCATTATCTCCTTCCCCAGCTCAGGGCTCTCTATAAACAGTTTGTTTTCTCCCAAGATTGCTGGAGCTATGGCACAGAGCACTGTCTAGGTATATTTAACCCCACGGCTCATTCCAACATGCTTCTTTAAAAGAAGATCATATTGTTTTTCCTGCTTTCCATTTTTGTAAGCCTAGGCTTTGGCCAGAGGGTACTCTACATATCTGGCTGTAAATAGACTGCTTGGAGCCAAGCAATGCGGTGCCTTGACTAATTTCAGCATTCACTTAAGCTAAATTATTTATGATACTCTCTGCACAGGCTTTTCTCTGTTGTTGTTGTTTTAATGTCGTAATCTCAGTCAGAATAAAGGGATAATTTGCATGCATTTTCAGCTACTGCAGTAGCTAACACATGGCTCTGAAAACTGAAGCCAACTACAATATATTCAAAGTCTGAACTGACTGTCCAGAAAAAAGGAAATCTTGACGTGCCACTAAATCATGTTCCTAATGGTGAGAAAGCTTAACGTTTTTACTTAAGCAGCTGAAACAACATCAGAAACATTTTCCAATGATACAGTTATTCACTTGTATCAAGAGCTCATCACCTTTGCTGCAAGAATGTAAATCAGGAGGATGTTAAGCTGTGAATGGTCTATTTTCACCTCTATGCTGATATTATGAGTCCAAGTTCATTGCCAGCAGAGCATGTCTCCATCGTCATGAGAATGTAAAACACCACACAGGCAGAGGGAAGAAATACAACTGTGCTTTTAAGGAGCCTCTGAGTTTCCAGCAGGCACAAGGCATAAGAGATAAGAAAGAGAATAAAAATTAGAAGGGAGTGCAGGGCAGAGAGGTACCTCCTCCACCACCTGATGGCTTGCCAAAGAAAACAACAGAATGGGGATTAGAGTTTGCAAGGTTGCACGTTAGAGGAGGACTACCTATTCCCTGCCTTTTCTCCTTCTAAAAGCTGCCATATGAGGAGAAACATTCCTTTTATTATTTATGGGGACAGCCACTCTTGTTTATTATACTCATGTTACTATGCTACATGCCAAGTACAGGCACTCTTTTTCACAGAGAGGTTTTTCTTTGTACAGAGGGGGAAAAAAAAGGAAACATAACACACACCCCCCCCCCACACCCCCCCCTTCATTCCCTGTTTGTAGGATTGGTGAGGAAATTAAAGTCAGGGTAGTTAAAGAAGGCCTTTCTACAGAGTTGTGATTTTGCTTAGAAAGGTGGCAGCAGCAGAGCATTGCAGTGGCCTGACACCATCGTGCTCTAGGGGATTAGCAGATCTGCTTCGAGGGCATTTCTGTTGGCCCCAGCACTGCTCAGGCAATCACATCCCTTAACAGCCCAAGGAGTGGAGAACTCGCAGCAGAAGAAAGATTAAACAACCTATAATCTGAACATCAGTATTTGCACAGCTTGTAGGAGGTGGATATTTCCCCCACTCTGGGTTTGGAAAATTGTTGATAGGAAAGAAAGAAAAACAAGTTTATTCCTCACCCCCTTTACATTTTTTTTCAAGGCAGCTGAAGGGTAGCTGACCTATTTTCTGAGTTGAGCAACAGAGCAGGCTCCCCAGCACCTGATCACTTCTTTGTGCCTGTCCCCTGAAGCATGTTTAATACTGAAAGGCCTGGCCCTGGTCAGTGATTGCAAAGGAGGAAACCCTCGGCTGCGCTTGGATTGCAGCCTTCATGCTGAATGCAGGCAAGGATTTGAAACAATCCACTGAATGCAAAGTAAATCCCAAGGCAAAGGGAAGGGAAACTAGGCAACAGTATTTTCTGTGGTAGATGGCAGTGGATTTATTGCCTGGCAGTTCACAAACTGCCTACAGCTGGGGGAAATTGCTAGTTCAATTATCCTATGTTTAATGTGATTACTGGTACTGGTTCATAGGCTTAATTTCATTCCTTTGAATTCCTCTCCACTAACAAAAACAAAACGATCAAACAGAAAAAAGGTGCAATAAAATCTCTTCAAAAATACAGACTATAAAATGTATTTTTCAAACCAGGAAACTTCATTCTCTGTCTTCAGGGTTTTTCTTATTTTTAACCAAATTATACACAGAAGGATCTTATTCTGAAGAATAAATCTGCCATGTTGTAAGAAAGGAGGAGAGCTCTTTCTCCTTTCCCAAAGGGTTTTTTTAACAGGGCACTGACAGATGCTCCTTGAGTTTAGAATCTAGGAATTAAATATTTAGATATGGGAAACAGCAGCAAGATAACATATTTGCAGTGGCCATGTAAAAGCCTTAGTTGGATGGTGAAAGGGTACAACCCTCCCCAGATAGAAGACAGTGCTAAGAATGAAGCTCCAGACTTCAACATTGCAGCTCCCACACAGAAGCTTGTTTCTGCCAGGAAGGGATAACAGAGCAAACGCAATAAAAGAACAAAGACTCCTCTCTCACACATATTTTTACATATTTTAGTGTTAAAATACAGGATATGGCCACTTAGTTCTGTTTCAGAAACTGTGTATTGCTTCACAATGGCCGTAGAATAAGGTGCTGATCAAACATTGTCCTGTTTACCAGCAACATAAATACCAACAGCAATACTTCAGGTGGAGCCTTTTTCTTGATTGGGCATGATCTGATTCACAGGACATTTCCCAAGAGCCAAAAGAAACATAGCATAAAGAAATGCATTCCAAAAAATCACATTTTTAATGCTACAAGGCCACTATATAACCACTGTAAACAAACTGTAAGTTTAACATGCCAATTTACCCTTGTTTGCAATAGGCTGCTGAGCTTATTTGGATTTCGTCCTTAATATAGCATCAATAATTGCTGTAAACAATGTATTTTATGCCTTCTCAAGGCAGGTTATTGAATCAAAAAGTATGATAACTTTACATGCTATTTCAGACTTGATGTGGTGAATTTTGCAGATATGGTGTCTTTCAAAGAAAGAACATGGATGTTCTATTTTTTGATTTTCTCATGAAGTAGTAGAAATCATTGCATTTTTAGAAACGAAACAACTGATATATGACAATACAACACTGCTCTCCTAGTGCCTGTACTGACCTCCCAAGCCCACTGCAGAATGCTGTTTTCCCATGTTTTTATTACCTGATAAATATCTTTTTTGTCACTGAGACTGTCCATTTGACTTAATTTACATCTCACTCTGCAACTACTGCATTATTTAAACATTTATAATTTTTTTTGCCAATGACTGTCTCCATGTTTCTAACATGTTAATTAACATTTATAACATACCTGTCTATATTTTACTTATTGTTTACTTAATTTACATCAAATGAACCATAAACAGTTCTTACCAGTTATCAGTTTAGCCCATTACAAGAATCATGTTATGCCGTTTTTGACATAAACTACAGTTAATAACTCACTTCATTCCCTCCACTTCACCACCAGCAGGCATGGAACTATTCTGTTCCTGTTGGTATCCCTGACTGCACAGGCCTACCCAAGCCAGATATTATCCAACAGGTTTAAAGATGAATTATGTTCCAGAGATCTTTTTTGCATCATCAGCCTATTCTTTCATTCCCTCTCTGTCCTCACCTAATAAACATCACACCAAGTCCCTTAGCTTCCAGGGAATTATTTTTATTTACATTGGGAGATGTCTGGGCTCTGTGATCTCTACCCTTCTGCATCCCAACATCCTTGTCTCACTCCAGTGCCCCAGTAGCCTTAGTTCCTTTACTCCATCATTTTCTCTAACTTCAGACTTCTGGCTTTCTCCACTTGTACCAGCTGAGCCCTCACAGTCCTGCCCAGCACTTCTTTTACTGCAAAACCACCAATCCCTGTGTTACTTAGTCCTGACATTTATACCTGCATTCCTTCTACTCAGCCGCTTTATAACATTTGTAGTTACTGTATTCTAATAGAGGGTGTCTACAGCCTCTTAAAACCTTCCTCCCGATCTCTATGTATTTAAAAAAAATCACAGGTTTCATTTCTTATGTACTGAGATTATCTTCTCTCTGAGTAACTAGGCTGCCTCACAGAAGTGAGTAGGTGCGGAAATCTCTTCCCAGTCTCAGTGGACCTAGTATCTTTCTTCCTTCCATTAAATTTCATCACTCCTCTCTCAATCCCTCCACACTCCCAAAATAGTGCAAGTCTACACACTTCTCTCCTTCTCAAAGTCCTCCCAAACTTTATCCACTGGTATAACTGGTTATCTGACTTACCTTATTTTTGGCTTAAGCTTCAAATCTACACAAGTTCTTGCCTTTGCAAACTCTCTCCCTTATTGAGAGC